GCCGTTCAATAGTATGCATATTCTTACCACGACAAGAAATATTAAAATCATCCACAAAATGTGATCCATCGATTGAATCGTTTAAAACCTTGGATAAACTGTTGATCTTGATACTAAATAGCGTGACAGACAAAATACTGCCTTGAGGGACACCCTGATCCTGATTATAATGGTCAGACAAGGTTGAACCCACTCGGACTTGAAATTGCCTGCCTCTTAAAAACTGTGATATAAAAAGAGGTAAACGACCCCTCAAACCAAAATCATGTAAATCCTTTAAAATGCCATATTTCCATGCCGTATCATAAGCTTTCTCAAGATCAAAGAAAATTGATACAGCATGTTGTTTATTTACTATAGCATTTTTAACAAAGGATTCTAAACGTACCAAATGATCAATGGTACTACGATTTTTCCTGAAACCACATTGGATATTTGTTATAAGGTTATTGGTTTCAAGATACCAAGTTAATCTATTATTCACCATACGTTCCATGGTTTTACAGACACAGCTGGTTAGAGATATAGGCCTGTAATTCGATGGATCCGTATGATCCCGGTCAGGTTTTGGAATTGGGATTACAATGGCATTACGCCACGAAGGAGGAAAAATTCCGGACGTCCATATTTGGTCAAATATATCTAAAAGTGTCATCAGACAAGGTTCAGGCAAGTGTTTCAGGAGCTGATAATGTATAGTGTCATGAGCTTGCTCCAGAGCAGTATATAGCTCATGTAATGAAAACACTTCATTATAATCTTCACCGTTATTTGATTCGAAATTAAGTTTGTCTTTTCCTGTTGTTTCTGATATCTCTGAAACTCGGGGACATAATTTGTCGATGAAGAGTTTTTGGCAAGAGTTTCGCCAAGCTTATTTGCAATTTTAGATTTGTCAGTTATTAAGTTATCACCATCTTTAAGATGGTGAACAGCAGATTTTGAACCTTTGCCTTTTATTCTCTGAATCATGTTCCACACCTTAGACATGGGTGTGCGTGAATTAATTTTGGAGACATATTTTTCCTCCAAGACTGTCGTTTGTTTTGTTTGAAGGTACGACGGGCCTTCGCATTGAGTATTTTGAATTTATTTAAATTATGGACAGTTGGATGATGGCGGAAATAATGTTCTGCCTTTTCCCTCGCTTTTCTGGCTTGCCTACAGTCTGTATTAAACCATGGTTTCCGTACGTGTAGAGGATTTCGGTATACACTCATCAGCTATTTCCTTTAAATAGTCAGCAAAAATCTGAATGGGATCAGGTACGTCGCTGAAGCATTCAGGTCGTAATTTCGATTTACATATAGTTTGAAATAAGGGCCAGTTAGCCTTCGAAAAATTCCATCTTGTATATGATGGAGAATCAGATGGAGTTATTTCTGAAAGAATAGTTGGGAAGTGGTCACTTCCACAGAGGTCACTATGGACAGACCAATCAAATTCATTTAGGTGGTTAGAGTCTGCAAGAGACAGATCTAGAGAAGAATAGGTTCCGGTTGCAGGATGCAGGTAAGTGCTTGAATCATCATTGTATATACATAGGTCATTATTGGAGATAAAATCTTCCAGTATTTTTTTTACCTTTAGTAGTAGTGTTATTACTACCCCAGAGCGGGTTGTGACCATTTAGGTCACCCATAATAACACAGGGCTTCGGGAGTTGATCATAGAGTGACTGTAGATCTGTCTGCTGAAGTGCCGATGAAGGCGGAATATACAGAGAGCATAATGTAAATGCTACACCCAGAGTAAGTCGCACTTCAACAGCTTGGAGATTAGTTTTAAATGTAACAGGGCTGTGAATAACATCCTGCCGTATAAGGATAGAAGATCCTCCAAAGGCCCTATCACCCAGGGTAGAATAATGATGATAGACTGTAAACTGGCGTAAAGTAAAATTATCCGTCTGTTTCAGATGCGTTTCTTGTAGACATAATGCTGATGGCGTTAAATCCTGGACTAATAGCTGTAGTTCATTAAAATTAGTCCTCAGATCTCAACAATTCCACTGCACGATATTAGTAAAATGGCCTATCTTTTAGGTGGATTGATAGGGGACCTACCCCTCACTTTCTTCGAGGGCGACGAGCTATGTGCCCTGGGATGGATGCTTTCTGACACATCCATTACCTCGAGTGAACCATATTTATTAGATAATTTTATACGGTTTTCAGAACCCTTGGAGGGTTTTTTCACACTTTCTGTCCTAGGTTTGTCTGTATTTTTTACCACTGTCTTTGAAATTATTTCAGATCGAATGTTCTGACTGGGCTGAGACAATAATTGTGCTTCATCCTGAATTTTGGTTTGTGTCGACTCGGAAGTCTGACTAGACTGTTCAGGCGTCAGACGTTGAGGGCTGTCGTTGGTAACCCAAGTCAAGTCTGTTTGACACTCTATGGAAATACTGGATACTGGCGAATTTACTTTTGACAAGCTTTCGGAGGGTGTCCTGACAACTGATGCATATGAATCATTTGGTACTGTTGATTCAACAAGCTTTTTTAGCATCAGCAAAGCTAATGTTGTGAGTAAATTTAACCTTGTTTATTTCCATTTGTTTTTTTCCAGATTGTGCAGTCTTTAGAAAAGGATGAATGATTACCTGAACAATTTGTGCATTTTTTAAAGGTACTATCACAATTTTCAGTTACATGTGAAGTTTCGCTACAGTGAGCACATGTTATAGGCTTTGTGCAAGTATTGACACCGTGACCATATTTTTGGCATCTGAAACATCGCAAGGGATTTGTAAACGGTGATATTACAGTAACCAACCTTGACAGACTCTGGAGGATTTGGTGAAGAGAACGAAAAGAGGTACGTGTTAGTCGGAATTACGGCATTGTTCTTGCGGGTGGTGAATCGCTTGACATATGTCACTCCCTGATCTTTCATTTCGGATACGATGTCATGTTCTGACATTTCGGCCAACAAACGATCTCTATCTCTTATAATTCCTTTGCTGGTGTTCAGTGTTCTGTGGGGAGTAACGGAAACATGGATTCCAGCAAATGTTTCTGTAGTCATCAGGTTGGTGGCTTGTTGCTTCCTAATGCATTCGATCAATAAAGATCCCGAACGCAAGCGTTTTATGTTCTTCACTTCCCCTGCGATGCCATATATGCCCTTAGAAATCACAAAAGGATTCAGCTGTTGTGGTGTCTCGTCTACAGTGTCGAGAACCAGGAAACGTGGCCAATTTTCTGCAGGTTTGGATGGTCTCTGCTCATCATCATTATCGAGTGGACGTTTGTTTTTGGTGGGGGGTTGGTAATCCATGGTAAGTTTATTTTGATTCATCTTCCGGGCTCCCCACCCACCACGGAGTATCACAAGGACAATGCTAATCACAAGCGGGCCTCCGACTTGCAGCACCAAGGATACCCGGATGATATACTCAAGCAGGATAATCAACAAGCAATTATTCCACCGGATTGACCCATGAGCCACTGCCTTCTGCACATAGGACTCTAGGCAAATTACTAAATTGGAGTTGTACAATCAAAATATAAATATATCATCATGAAGCTAAGACCACTGACAAAAATTTGGAAAAATGTCTAAAATTTTGCAGCAATATGTACATGTACAGGGCTTAGCATGACCAGCCGATTGATTGAACCGGGCCCATTCAACCACCCGTCTAAAGTGGTGTGTTGGGCAACAGGAACACTGGGTCCTGGTTCCAGTGCCCTCAACCACCAGACTCCCGTCCTCCACCGACACAGGGGCGCAACCCACGGCCAAACGGGTTGGTGGACCAAATATACCCCCGGGTCCACAACGGGGGTTCGAAGAGCTCTCGGCGTTACCCAGCACCCACCACGAGGAGGTGTCTCTTCACGGGTGCCTTTTTAAATTGAAGAACCAGTGACAAAAGTGATGTTGTTCCCTGATTTGAATGTGCAATGTCGACATTAAATGAATTCAAGTAGTTTGTGTTTAACATTTTTTACGATGGATTTATCGGTTGATATTCAGTGGATCTTGTGGGGATATGGACGATGACGTTATAAAGAAGCAAGACTTCCAAACTGTTCTCATTAATACTTGCATGGGTATAGAAAAAACATGATACAAAGTCAAACGGGCATCAGAACCCTCTCCCATGGGTTCAATATGAATAAGGGACGTAACTCTGCACAAAGCATTTTGACTGAACCATCATTAACCCTTGATGTTAAAAAAATATACTACACAAAAATTTAACAAAATGTAAATCTTTTTATTTCCACCAACAACATAACACTATTAAACAGTAAGCTGTGTCAGTATCAAAACATACATAATAACATATAAAAAATAGACTATATATGAGTTTTTAGAGATGAACCAAAGAAAACCTAGAAGAAAGACAACTCACAAGATGTCGCCCGTATTGCATGAATTTGCGTATTTGGTAAAACATCACAGCAGTTGAAACCAGAAATGGCTTCTCATATTAAACCCATGTGGGATCCAAACTCGGCCCTCGGAACACTTTTTTCCCATTAATCAACTACGATCCCATTGCCTGAGTAAATGTCGTACTTAAACACACTGAGGTACTGTTGTGCACCGCAGTTCTGTGTCCAGAATGATGCACCATATACTAAATACCTTACATGTAAGATGCGACTAACGGGATCGGGTGGTCAGGCTCGCTTACTTTGTTGACACATGTCATCGTATCCAAATTGCGTAGATTGATGCCCATGATGTTGATCACTGGACTGTCTGGTCCAGACTCGAGTATTTACAGACCTCTGCCACATGGCTGGAATACTGCTGAGTGCGGCGTTTAACAACACACCAACCCACCAACTTCCTGATACGTATTTCAAACTTAAGTTTGCAGTGTGATTGGGGATGAAAGCCGCTGTTTGCAGCATTTCGGTCTTCTTTAGTGTCATTTTAGAAGCTGGGAAGTACATTGTATTGAACAACATTTATGGATAACAACTTCTTTTATTTCGTGAGTGCGACGTTTGGATACAGATTCTTGTACCGTTACATTCCTGCTTGACAACGGTACAATAATCTGTATCCAAACGTCGCACTCATGAAATAAAGAAGTTGTTATCCATAAAGTTTATTCAATATATAATCAAAAAATGTGTTTCGGTCTTGACATCAGTGCGATGTGGAAAGACCGATCTAAGATAGAAGGATGACGCAGGATTGAGACATTCAACACTGTCCTAAAATGACGCTGCATCCAAGCATCAATCAGCGCGAATCTAATATGTGCTTCTTGCACGCCTGTAATATAAGGGAGGTAACTCTTGGCACCTTAGACTACATGTTTCCTCTATTCATTTGAAACATATAAACATGCATGTCGTATAACCGCTGACAAGGCAATTTGTGTGCATTGAACTGACATCAGCAGTAATATAAAGCTATTTCGTAAAGTAAAGTACATACGTATGTTATATATAATCGCAGTGACAGTTCTGAGGTACAACGGCACAGGCTGACATCGGTGATTTGGCGTACGCTCTTATGATAAGTTCACTGAATATATTTATAGGAAGTCTGAACTTGGGCAACTCAACTAAGGCCCCGTATTCTGCTGTGCATTGTCAGGCCCCTTAGAAGAAATTCGAGTCCTGTTTGCCTTGGTTATGTTTCCAGGCTTGTCAGCATCGTGCAAGCATTACAGACGTTAACATATGAGATCCGCACCACTGCAGGCTTTGTTCACATCAATCCCGCACGTCCTAATGTAACTGGAATACTGTTCGAGACAGTCTAAAACATGTATATTTGACAGACACGGTGAATCACACTATCTGCTAACTGCGTGATAATTACCTCAACATCTTCACGCGAAGTTTCAGACTATATCTGGTTCCTCGCTATATATTGACGAACGCGTCGATTCTAACATATACAATGCTGGTGCCACTACCCACGGTCAACTATCGTACATACTTCACAGTAGTGAGGTCTCACTTATAATTGCTATTTCATGATAGCGGGATTCGAACTCGGTTCCTCATTTGCCAGGGAAATAATAGACATTACAGTACAACAATGTTCTTCTGTCTCACTAAACACGAAGTTCGTGTTGTCATTCTTCGATAGGCATCAAAGACTGTCTCCACATTGCAGGCTCTCATCTCCGTGTGCTGTGTGCAGGAACGTGGAACATGCCAATATTCCTGGGAGGTGGTAGGTCATTCACCCCTGGAAATACAACACATGGCCAGGTATAAAAGAATCTATTTTTTTCTCATTGCATCAACATTCATGCACCTGAATATGACATCAATATAACGTCAGCATCGTTGATGAATAGCTTTATAGACATATAGTAAAAAGGAAAGTATTGCAATGTACTTGTACAGGCAATTATTAATTCATGACTCTTAAGACCAGTGATATCGAGAAGCACTCGTAGTATCGCCTATCAGTGCATTATCATATGAACTGTATAGGCTACATAGGTGACTGTAAATAAACCAAAACAAGTAATGAAATCCTGGAAATAACTTTAGATTGTTGTTTCCAGTACGAACATTTTACAGTCGTTAATGAAGAATGAGATTAGATGTTATGACCGTCAAAGAGTGAGTGAGTGAGTTTACACTTACGCCGCACTCAGCAATATTCCAGCTATATGGCGGCGGTCTGTAAATAATCAAGTTTGGACCAGACAATTCAGTGATAAACAGCATGAGCATCGATTACGCAATTGGGACACGATGCCGTTTTGCAACCAAGCAAGCGAGCCTGATCACCCGATCCCTTTAGTCGCCTCTTAGGACAAGCGTGGGTTACTGAAGACCAATTCTCACCCGGATTTTGACGGGCTGACCGTCAATGATGTTGAAGGACAATTAGTGTAATTTGAGGAATTTAAAAAGTTGACATTTGTGGGTTCGTAGAGTGTAAAACCGCAAGGATTTGTCAAGCAGTCATTCATGACAATCTCAATCCTCTTGTAGGGCCTTGCCAAGTTCAGCTAACGTGGCAGGCGGCCATTGACCTATATCACTGACGCCACCCGTCTACTGATATTTCAATAAACCACTTCAACTATAACAATACATGCTCAACAAATGGCAGGCTAATCGGTCAACTTCGCATAAAGGTTACCTATATTGCTGTATAAAACCCATGTTCGGTTTAGAGGAATACCTATTTCGTTCATCAAAACTGTCCTATTAAACTTCTCATTAAATTCCGTACCGGTAATCATCATTTGCCTGTGGAAATAGGTCGATGGTCAAATATCCCTTTTGAAAACAGATTATGTGAATTGTGTGACACACTACATGTTATTGGTGATGAATTTCATTACCTCTTTGAATGTCAATAATTTAAAAAAGAAAGCGAGAGTTGTACATGCCACGTTTCTATTATGTAAATCCCAACTTTCATAAGCTTGACTTGCTACTTGGGCAACTGTCACACCGCCGCATGTCAAATATCCGTAAACTATCAAAATTTATCTACCCTTGTCTAGTATTATTACTATTGTTCTCAAAATACATTGTAAATGTGTACAGTCACATCATATTTGTAAAAATATGTATATCCATATACCACAGTGAGTGTTTTTTTTAAAATAAACTTGATTGTTTGATTGAACAATTACCCGGCGTTCTTCCGTGAGTGTAGGGGTTGATGGGATTTCCAGAGCGTCCTCTCTTGCCGTAATATTTTCTTTCACAAACATACGCTATGACAATAATGGCTACAACTGCACAAACGACAGCAATGGTTATACCAGCTATTGTTGAACCTGGTAAAGCTCTGAAACATACAAGGCAACGGAACCATACAATAAAACAAACCATAATCGCTAATTACATAAAATATCGAAACGTTGAAACTGACAACAGTGTAATTGTGATCAATGGGTTGGATTACATATGCATGTGGTATAATCGTATTAGAAGAACAAGAATATGGTCAGACATGGCCCACAAGGCAGGGCTCGATTTAAGAGATGTTAACCTACTTGCATCAGGTGCAACCTAAGATAGAAACCTAGTTGCATCAGCCAAATTCCAATTGCACTGCTTTTATTGGAATACTATAATGAAAGAAATATGCTGTTGAATTATTTAGATGTTTTCAATCTCATCATAATGCAACTAATCAATGGGTTTTTTTCATTCTTCATTAAATTTCTTAATTTGTCTTTAATTTACGTTTCCATTCATCATCTGTAGTTATATCACCCAGCCTCGAAATGCCACACGCATTGGCAATGTCAATGGAATCACTCATGTTCGTATTGGCATGTTTCTCAGTGTCCGAGTTTTGTTTACCACGTTTGTCAGCCATTTCACTTGATTTCTTCAGGAAAAATGTTTTAATACTTGCCTGTTGTTTACTTTTGCTATCCATGGTTATTTTCAATCAAGGTTTGAATAATTAAAGGTGACAGGAGGCTTAGCGTTTCACACAGCCATGTGCAATAAATCTGTCAGCTATCACTTAAAATGATGTAGTGTGTTAAAACTTCAGAGGTTTCAGTGCATATTAACATATTTCTGTGACATAGTACCCATGAAACCATAGTAACACAGCCACACAACTGATCCCTGTTTATAAGAGCTTTCATAGGCGAGGGGTGTCCTAAAATATCAATGTATCAGTGCCATGGCTATTCAACGTTTAGAAGGAAAAGGTGCCGACATAATTATGCTTATGATGTTAGATTTATCCATTTATGTCTCAAAAATTGACTTGCACCTGGTGCAACTTAGACTAATAACTAGGTTGCACTTTGTAATATTGGGATGCACCAGTGCAAGTATCAAAGCACTAAATCGCCCCCTGCAAGGTATGACACGTATTACGTATCTTGCATACGTACCCTTTATTTTCACAGCATGTTCGGTTGTTGATCGATCCACAACAGCCGTACTCACAGAGGATGGTGCTGCGTTTGCCGTCAATGTTCTGACCACAGCTTATGCACAGAACATCTAGAGGAAGGAGAGGTTGCATAATAATTAAAAGGGAAATGATACTTTATTCAATATGCTCGATGAAATATATGTAAACTTTCTATGATATATCATACGCTTGCATCTCGTCTTTGATTCATTTGCAACGAGCGAACGTGACACCATCACATCACACTACCTCCTAATTTGTACAGTGGATATAAGTTTAAGGTTCATTATAAGACCCATTTGTTTCCCGGACTGGAAAAATAAAAAATATTTTACTTCAGCTGCAGGTATACCGGCGATCCGATCTCGTTCAGTGACAGCCAAATAGCAAATTCTCTGCCAACGATCTATCCACCCTAACATGGAAATGATTTCATATTTCATATTTGATCTAAACAGATAGATTCAGAATGACAAATAGACCCTCTACTCGACTGCATGACAAGAGGGGTGACCTAACCATTCCAGTAGCAAGCTCTCCATCTATGTGGAGATGTACACCCGAAGCTCAAGTCCTTTTTGCTTTTAGCAGATATCTAGATATATCTAGAATACTGATCGGGATTTAGTGCTTACATTTACCTGTATCACTTCGTAATGTTGCTGTGGTCAAGTGTCCTCCTCGATAGGATACGATAATAGTTTACATGTTCTGTGGGAAGTCTTCCTGACACTGACTCAGAAAATATTTATCCATAATTCCTAGTGGCTCAACAGTTTAATTACATACACAATCTGCAAATAAATACCTCCATTATGTTCTATGTCATTATTTCGGCCGTGCTATTGATCACATTCATTAATGTTCGACATTGATCAATGAACCAAAGTAACATTTCAAGAAATTTAAATTAGGAACAAAGTTTGAACATAGCAACTATGTTAGAGATACTCTTAAAATAAAGTTTGGGAATCTGAACATTCAATTTGGATAAGGGCGGTGCGGAAGTGGTTAAAGCGTTCGCTCACCACGCCGATGACGGGGTCGATTCCCCTTATGGGTACGATGTGTGAAGTCCCCCGCCGTGATAGTGCTTAAATATTGCTAAAAGCGGCTTAAACCTATACTCACTCACTCAATTTGTATAGGATGTATAAGCGTCAACACACTTTTCAAAGACACACATCTTATGAACGCACCACCATTTCTCGGTATCACCACCTCGAAACACGACGCATGGGATACACGTGCACAACACAGTAGCCCCATTCATATGAATGGGGTGACATTCTATATTTTGACGGTTTTCAAGGAGGTCGATAAATCACTGTAGACCATTAATGGTCATCATCTTGCATCTTGTTCAAATATATTTTCCTACTTTTAAAGATATATGGTAGCTAGTTTTACCTCATTTGTGATAACCTAGTAATTTTACTGCCCTTTGTTGACAGGGTTTTAAATATTATATGTATATATACTCATGCCAATAATGGTTGTCACCCCCCCCTCCCCACCCCAACCCCCACACCCCCGTCCCTCTCCAATTAAAAATGTTGAAGGGGGTGACAACCATTATTGGCATGAGTATATTATGAAATTCGAACTAGTCACGATATGGCTGAAATATTGCCGATGTGACTTTAAATCTTAACTCACTCACTCACTCATCTTGCATCACACAGTTGATAGTGTTTGATTCTGACCGGGGTTTCTTTATGTTTGAAGATGAAAACCGTACACATGCCAATTTCACGTCATACACCAATCATCTTTCAAGAGCGATTACTGTAAAAACAAATATTGTCATAAGGAAGTGCAAGTGGTGATGCACTCTCAAAACATTCATTGTTATCATATCAACATTGATTGACTCCGATATATCTCCCAATTCAATGATGAAGTTCCCCTCCTTCCTTAAAGAGTATATCGCCTATAGCTGAACATATCATACATGCTTCACGTTACATTCATGCTATTCTTCATGATACAATTAATTTTGCAATTAACGATTGATAGATGGCGTCTGCAACGTTGCGTAAAACAGTGAGTGAGTTAAAGTTTATTGTCACATCGGCAGTATTTCAGTCATATCGTGACTAAAAATGGTTTTGAAACATTAGAACTGATTAGTCCAGCATATAACTAGACGACTTTGCACTATACCAAGGTGTGCTCGAAGTCTAGCCGGCGAATTCAAGTTCTTTGACGCACTTCGCTAGGCAGAGTGGCACAACGGATTTAGGCATAAACGAGGGTAGAAACGTCTTGTTTTTGCCTAAAACTGTTCCGCTCAAATTTCTTGCGGAAAGGTGCGTCAAAGAAAATGCACTCGGCGTATAAACTCGATGTAGGCCTTGGCTGGAATACAAGTTTATTCATATGAACTATAGAACTGATAAACCTTTACACACATTGCCTGTAACACTTTCCCAGCATTGGGTTAGTTGGGGTTTTATCTCCATAACGCTCGAGTATAATTGCACGGATCGACTCCACTAACGTTCCCTTTCACAAGTGAGTCCATTATGAAAATGCATAGCCTGAGCCACAAGCGCGAAACAAGAATCAATAGGTAGAACTGCCATCATGGATTGGTAGAACTGTATACACTCACACCTCCATTATCGACACACGGACTGGCAAGACGCCAATAAACTGGAACTCGCAAATAGCAATTCCTGTAAAAATCTCTGTAGCACCTGTGCAAGTCTATAGTCAATAACTTTACTTCGCTTCTAAAATTATCTGTTCCATGGAACTAAATGCACCACTGCCTTAAACAACATTGATAAGACTATTGCATTTTCACAATGTTTTTCTCTTCACATTTCCATTCATTGTCCGAACTAAAGGCGTGCACGTCACCGTGTTTGAACATCTCAAATACCGGTATATTTTACCTACCTGTGAAGTAGATAAACGGTAAAATGAGATACACAATGTACTTCATTCTTCTGTTCCGGTATTTTCCCTGGTATGTTATCCATCTGTTAACAGTCACCTGTAGCGACCAGAACTAAGATACGACCAGAACTGGGATAACTAGAATTATGCGTGTTGCTTTCACTGTGTAATCGACAAACAATCATTCAGAGTAAAATCAGCTGCACAACACGTGTCCTATATTTTAACTACTGTTTGCCAAAAAGTGCCAAAGGCATCGCTCCATAGTCAATGTCCGCCTCAATAGCTAAATATAGCAGCGCAAGAAAAGTAGGAATGTGAAACTGAAACGGAATAAGATTCATTTTCATACACTTTGCTGTAATTACTCTACTTTGGGATGGGGTGATTAGGGGTTCCGACTTACAATAAGGGAGCGACCAATTAATGTTCCTGGCTGAGGTTGCGGGATTTAATTAGGTGTCAGTTTTTTTTCATTCATTCAAGTTTTATTCATAATGATTCATTGACTCATTCCCAGAAATGGTTGCTCCTCAACTTGCAATATCAAATGATATTTTGAAATATAGCTAATTATTCCTTTTTAACAATGTATGTGTATGTACACAAATATAACCAGAAACTATATGATGTGAATGTAACTGGAACCTTTATACAGTTTAATAATTATACTAATATGTGTAATGCACAGTGTTTTATGTGACAACACAGTAAATAATTTCTTTAAAATAAGAACGAAAAAATGAATTTTGTCATCATTCAAGGACGTTAAATTCTTTCTGGATGGGGATGCATGTATAATAATTCAAGTTTGTTTTATGGATTTAAAATTTGTAAGATATTTGTTCTATGCTATTTGTGAGAGTTTTCAAGAGATTGGTATGCTGCTTGCTCATACTTTTCAGAGAATATTTCTTCTGAAATGCAATAAAGATATACAGGTTCATGTACACTCATGACAAGTGGTGATCTGTAAATAATGGTAGTGTATATTCAGTGACTTACCATCACAATCAATACCATGCTGTTCATTGTCAGAGTTAAAAGGTCCAGTTTAAGTTCTCATCTCTAAACGTTCATGGCCTCCAAGCAATTAATGGCTTCCTTTTCTAAAACATTTTTAGCCTCCATTATGCGTTAATATTACTGCCATTATCATTAATGATTTGCCAGTTATGATCATTTAAAACTTTTCACATGATAAAATATAAAATTTCAGATTCCTAAATGTGGCAGGTGTTTGTAACAAACACCAGACATACAGGGCATACTTACTTCAGAATGAGTATAATTCACTGAGCCCTTCTTAGCAGCTTGAACTTGTTATTCTATGATCTGTAATCACTAACATTAATATTTGCTGGACTACTTGCATGCATATATTTGGCATTTTATTATATAATCGAATAAGATTTCCTTTCGTACCCATCACCTGATTTGAATTTTGCAAACATACATTTTCAAATAATCAATGAAGTACATCAATATAAGGAACCGTTCATAATTAAATATATGGCTGCGGGTGGGGTGTTGATTGTAAGGGTTGGAGGGTGGGGTGGGGTGTCACCCATTTTGTTCAGGGGAGCTAAGGGGTCAGCATTTTTGTACACGCGCACTATGTTTAGAAATTATGGGAAGGGGAGAGGGCGTCATAGATAATGTACATGACTCATACACTTTTATTTTTTTTTGGGGGGGGGTTGTAATTCACATTGTACGTAAAAATCAACATCACCCCAAAGCCATACATTATGAACGGTCCCTAAGGGCAGCTATACAAAATCGGATAGGATTAATCAACATTTTATATTGCATCCCATTATTATGAACATTTGTTCGTTTGAATAGATCTATCAGTAACTGATGCATTGAGCACGCCCTGAACCCTATCAACATATGTATATTATTGGGGGAGGGGTGGGGTTGTGGAGAATGGCGTAAGGAAATGCAACCAAAATTTTCACTTTAAAATGTCTTGTGAAAGTCTTTGTTAAGGATGAAATTGTATATAATTTATTTGAACTTTTATTTATTTACAAAAAGTGTAACTTCACTAATGATTCTTTGATGGGACAATTAACAAAACTGCACCCACAGACTTTCATTCTTACACTTGTTTGGAAGGGATATGATAATTCATGTCTCTTAAAGGTTAAAATCTTACATACAAAAGAAGTAATTTTAATGTAAGGAACATTTAATTATGAAATAAGATTATTTTAATGGAATTTGCAGAAATCTCATCTCCGAAGACTGGGTGGCAGCAATTTTGTGGATCACATAAAAGGAGCAAGGCTAAGGTAACACGTTTTTAACATTTCACTTGTTTCCAGTATATCCGCCACAAAGTTTAAGAGAAAGATGATAATGCTCTTTTCATTACCACCTGTTTTGAATATTTGTGATAATGTTTGGTCTTTTTTGGTGATAATAGTTGGTCTTTATTTTCATTTATATATTAAGGTTGATCATTTAAGAGAAAAAATTGACAATGATTTCTCCCGGAGATGTTTAGTTTAATGAGCACTCCCTTGCTTGGCGCCATATTGTTTTTCGCCGTAAACAGCTGGATGCAAGATAGTACGAAAGCCTAATGCTGCCACTTTTGTAGCACAAATATTTGGCAGCATTAGGCTTTCGTAAGATAGCACGCGAGAGGACAGAAGTCATACATTTATAGATATTAGAGATGTTTATTGCTGGGAAACACACTCTTCAGGTATTTAGTCAGCTGTAGAATTTGAATATGATGTTTTTTATTATTGTCAAAGGGTAGGTTTTTCATTATTTGCAATCTAATATGTGTGCAGTGAAACATTCTGAGATTTGGAAGAGTGCATTATTTAAAGTACAGGTGTTGTTAGATATCAGCATTTTATGTACATTTTCCCTTGTTAAGATCATCTATCGAGTATATTAGAGAGAAGGTGTATATTTGTAGTGTTTTAAATCAGAGATATTTTCAGTGTATGACCTACATTTCAATATGTTTTGGCCACCTGTCACCCCTTTGGTCAAATAGAGTAGGACTTCCATTTCTTGGAATTGAGAGTCAGCGATGCACTGTTTCCAAGAATTTGCGTTAGCCAGCGATGTTTGTTTACGAGTACATTTAAGTCTTTTTGAGTGTAGATTGGAGTTGTAAGAGCTGTTATTCAATGTCTTATTATTCATGGTATGATAGATTATTTCTGGCAATGTAGAGTTTAATCTCATTATTGTATTGTTCATGATTCAGAGAAGCATAGTTATGACGTCGCAGATAATACGCACACATAATTCATTATATGAGAGATTTTCTAAGCGTTCCTATAAGAGATTAAGTGTAAACATTTATGAATTATAAAAAAGTTATTTATCTGAGTTTTATGAGTGTACAAATGACAAAGAGAGAGAGAGAGTAGATAATAGAGAATATATTGTATACTTATGAGAGCTCATTATTGTTTTCAGAACTCCATGATCCATACTTCCTTGTGTTTGGGAACAAATGGTGTTGGGAGACCTCCCAGAATAGACTTGTTCTTTGACCTGTGAACCACCACCCATTTTGTTTTCTTATCATTTAATGTAAAATGGCTTTTGGTACAATTTATGACTCCTGGTAGCAAAATTGCTACATCAGTTCAACTCCTATTAATTTGAAATAATTATTTCCGAGAATCTCTAAAGAAAACTAAATCTGACAGAATAACAACAATCTTCCATTATTTTGCAGGACGATGTCAAACAATTTGATGTCAAGAATGAATGTTGATGGGCAAAACGGCAAGTTTTCTTTTAAGAGTACAAGGTTGTATTCAATCATCTCTGGTAAGTTAATTACCAAGTGCAGCATTTTCATCATGACCATAGCAAATAATATATGACAGTAAAGCATCGTCTAATTCATCCTACCAGTAATTCATAGTCTAATTAAATAATCAACTTGCAATTGAGGATTTTCTTTGAAAACGTTTAAGAAAACTTCCATTCCTTCGGTTGAAAATATAAATTGTTTACACTTTTCGTCATATTTTGTATTGATGCTGTTCATATGTTCACATGCCAAGTAACAGCAGTGAAATGAACCTTTCAAGTGATTGATTAAACAAATACTTGAATCATTTAAGACAATATATCTTCCATATAACTTATTCATGTATTTAAATATAAAATTTCAGAATGTGTCCCATCTCAAGGGAATGAGATGGGAATGCATCCGAAGCAAATTTCAAGAAAGAGTTAGGAACGTTTCTGAAGTATCCACCTGACCGCCAGGCAGGAGTGGCAGAAAGAAGAGGAGCTGATAATTGTGTTTTGGGAGTTGTAATTGTGTTGAAAAATCTGAACTGTGGTATTGAAATTGGTGGCGTAAATGTCACTTTGATGATATATGCAGATGATATTGTGTTATTAGCACAACAGAGATCACCTACAGACTATGTCATGTGTGATGTTTTACATTATGCATTAAACCACGTTTTCTGTGTGCGTGTGTGTTCATAAAGATTTCATGAAAAGTGACTTGTTTTATGTGCTGTCTTCAGGTATAGTTCCTGGTCATCTTGGATCCCTTTCATGGTGAAAGTAATTGCATTGTGTTTATTCAGGGTCTGTCTAAGAGCTGAAATTCAGACAAAATGTCTTCTCGGGACAATTTTCACCTTTTCAAGGTAACAATACAACAGTAAATAGTTTTTCTTAATTTGGAATACTCTTTTCTTCTTACTGGAATTATACGTCCAACTGACATAAAACTTAAATGAACATTATATTGAATGTGGAATTTTAACCAAGTATTTTATCAGGTAAATTTTTTTACTGCAATTTTCTGTTTGAACACTGTTTCTTGCAGGTAGCTTTTTGGGTATTTTAGCTGGATGCAGGAGTTTGGTGCTACTTTATTGTAGTTTAAAGATGAAATGCGAGTCTATTTACAGGAAAGCGTAATACCTCCCAGACACAACCACGGAACAACCCATTTTCAACGTCAATAATATGTCAGACTTCAACATTGATTCCACGTCGGATATCTACGTCAAAAAAACTTTCATATACAACCTATTTTCAATCTATTTTCAACGTTGAGGATCAACCTATTCTCAACGTTGATAATCGGTCAAACTTCAACGTTGATTCCACGTCGGATATCTACGTCAAAAAAACTTTCATATACAACCTATTTTCAATCTATTTTCAACGTTGAGGATCAACCTTTTTTCAACGTTGATAATCGGTCAAACTTCAACGTTGATTCCACGTCGGATATCTACGTCAAAAAAACTTTCATATACAACCTATTTTCAATCTATTTTCAACGTTGAGGATCAACCTATTCTCAACGTTGAAACAACGTTGATGTGCCTGCTGGGTAACTAGCGGATAGAGTTATC